GTTTATAGGAGCTCTAAATCAACCACATGACTCTTAGCAGCTTGTTTATTCTCATGACACAACACAGGTGAAGATCTTTCAGGTTATAGAACTCTCGGCTAAATTAAAGAAGACGCGAGACCAAAACACTTGAAAGTAGAAATTAAAACAACACGGAAGCATAGAAAAATCATTAATTGCATACTTCACTTCCCAAAGAACATCTTCCTCTTTCAAAACCTTTGCTGATTGATGAAGAGAAGGATCAAAAATCAGATCTTTTAGAAGGTGGGAGATGGCTGCCAAGGGTGTTGGAAAAATGTGTGAAAAATTGCATTAAATGGCTATTTTGGGGCAATTTTTTGAGTGGGGTCCACTTCTGATTTGGGTCGGGTAAAAGTGGTTTCGGATTGTCCTTGTTAAGGGCTACAATTCGATATATGGTACGCTCAAAACGGATAACGAGTGAATGAGAAATCGCTTTTCGAAGTTTACCCGTTAGAAGGGAAAAACTGGGAAAAAGGATGGGTTTCTAGTGTTAATTTCCCACACCGGAAAACCCAAGGGATTTGCAACCCTTTATAAAGGGACTCCCCCCTTATGGAGTTAAGATTCCTAAGGGTAAAGGCTCTCTCCACGCGCGCAGGGGGGGTGCAAATCAAATCCCGAATTCGGAGAAGAAAAACCGCGACTTGCGTGCGCGGGCGACCTGCGGACACGAATGTCGTCCAAAAATCCATCTCTCAAGAGATACGGGTAATTTTTGTTTTCTTCCCGAAACGTATAATTTTTCCCAAGTTGACAGAATTGCTCCGGGCAGAAGGCCACGACCAGAGGTGCTCCAGTTCTGATGGCCTTCGGGCAGAGTTCCTCCGGTTCTGATGACCGCGCATCAGAACTGCTCCAGTTCTGATGACCTTCGGGCAGAGATGCTCCGGTTCTGATGACCGCGCATCAGAACTACTCCAGTTCTGATGGCCTTCGGGCAGAACTACGTAGGGGTCTTCTGATGGCTTCTGAACCGTTACAGCAATAAATGCCCAACGTTTATATCTTTTAATGCAGCGTTAAATGGACAGTTCATGGACGATTCAATGCCCAACGGACTGGTCATTGATGTCCAACGTTCAGGTCCATTAATTCACTATTTTCACACAACAAATCCTCCTATATAATGGCTGGCAGGTGGTTTGCAACAACACACGTTCTTACACGATTTTACACGAATCCATACACGTTTTACCTCTAAAAACACACTGCTAGCATTCTGAAAATTCCCTGAGTGTTCGGACTTGTTCTCGTTCGCTGGAACTTTTGTTTGTGTGCTCAAACATTAGTTCGTAGTCATCGTATCCTGGGAAACTATTGTTGCAACGCTCCTAGCACCGTGGGAGGCAACAAATACGTTTTAAGGACATCGTGTGTAGCACGAGCTTTGACTAATTCTGCTTCATCTCCTTTCTTGTTTTTTCTCTTGTCATTTATTAATTAATTTATTTTAATTAATTTTCTTTATTTTCCGAAACACACCCAACAAAGGGTTCCCCTAGAGCCAGCCGTCTAGACTCTAGGGCGTTAGGGCCTTGTTAGACTACTTTTTTGAGTCCCATTTGAAAGTCGTTAAGTACTTAAGTTCGGTTTGTTTTCAAGTTCTGGTTGCTAAAGCTAATGAAAATGGTTTCGTTCAACTTATTACAATTGATTTTCATATTTGATTTCTTATCCTGTATTGATTTATTTAATAAAGTCCTAATTTCTAGAATTACAAAATTAAAATAATAGCCAAGCTCACCTTGTATATTTATCATGTAAATAAAATGTGCAGGGAAATAAAAAAAAATACTAAACAGTATGGAGTATAAATAAAATGTGAGGGGAAGTGAAAAATACTCGTATTTGTCTTACTACGATTGATGACATCATTATATGAAAGAGTTTTTAACTAAACTTGCATTTTCTAGATGATTAGAAAACTGATTCACCTCTCACAAATGGTAAGTTTATGATTGATGAACGTGTATAACATCACATAAAGTATTCAAAGAAGACTGTAAAAAATAATTAAGTTCATGTATTTTTATACAAATGAATCATGTAAATAGTATGTCACACTCCATTTTAACTTAGTGATATAAATGTAATATGCTATTGTCATTGTCAAATATCTTTTCTATACAAAATATATTATATGACTTCCTCTTTTCTTTTTAGTTACAACATTCTAATTTTCATGCTTGTCAATGCACAACATTCTATTAGTAAAAAAATTAGAAATCAAATTGTAGTGAGATGAATTCAAAAATATTTTTCAAAAATTGCTCTCATATACATTATTAAATAAAATATAGTCAATGTAAAACATGTGAACAGTGTAAAAATTTTCTATGTTACAACTAAAGAGAAACGGAGGGTGGTATGTTATATTATATAGTCTGTTCATAAATAATGTATAAAATTTGAAAAAGCTAAAATATGAACTTTTCACATTATTTATTTTGGCTAATGAGGTTATAGTTCATGATCGATGCTAAATACCTTTTTACTCCGTATATTTAAGCTGCATTTCGGCTACCACGGCTAAGTTTTGGGCCTTTTGGCCAATGTAATTTTGCTTAGGGAGAACTCCGGTACCCATTTGAAAAATGGGGTATCGTACCTACTATTCACTTTATTGGTCCAAATAGGTATATCATTTTTAATTTAGACTTAAATAAGGTGACAACTCCGGTACCTTTCTAAAATATGGGATACCATACCTCCCATTCATTTGATTGGACCACATCACTTTATCATTTTTAATTAAGATTTAAATAATTCAACTGCTACACTCTCATTGGTCCATGTGGACAAAAGTATGGTACCTTATGGGTACCATATAATCTACCCTTAAATAATTCAAGTGCAACATTGTGATTGGTATATGTGGAAAAAGGCATGGTACCTTGTGGGTACCATAGAATCTACCTTTTGCTTAATGGTCGGTTCAATTTGTTGATGTTTTGCTCATATTTCTCTTAATTTATCGGTGTAACGGTATATGCTTTCCATAATTTATTTGTGTGGCAATGTGTTTTTTATTTAATTTATTTTGGTTAAGACAAGGATCTGTGTGTGGCAATATGTTTTTTATTTAATTTATTGCTTATATTTTTTATTTACTGATAAATTGGGAAATTTATACACATGTAAAATAATATTATAATGTTGTTGTTAACTGTAGGGATAGGTCGGCAAACCCGAAAACCGAAAACCGAATCGAAAAAATCCGAACCGCGAGCAAAACAAAATGAACCGCAAGAAAACAGGAACCAAACTCAAAAAAACAAACTGAACCATAATTGTTAATAGCTTAATTAATACTTTAATTAGGTTTCCTAATACTTAGGCTAACAAAGCAAATGAAGCCGGTAAAGGAGTGTCAACCGGGCGACGTCCGATCGAGCCAGCCGACGTGGGAGAACCAAACTGGGGCTGTTGGATAAGGTAGGTCCAGCAAAACGCACTTGGGCAGCAGCAGTCAGACTGGACTCGGCCTGAGAGTCAGCGGAGAAGAGTGGCGGCGGCTGAACTGTCGGCGGTGTTGGAGTCCATGTAAAAATCGGTGGGACCCGAGATGAAGATAGCGGTGAGTCTGACACGTCGAAGGGGACGGATTTCATCTGTGGCGATGCTAAGATAGGCGATGGCTGTGTGGCTGCGCTCAAAACCGGGGTGTCAGCCGCTGATGAGGTCATCATGGCGCACGGTGGTAGAAAAAGACACGGCGGCGGCGGAAAAACCAATCGAAGAGTCCATCAATTTTTTTTAATATTGTCTAAAACCTAGAACTCTTGATACCATGTGAAAAATAATGGAATGACTTACTAAACCGGTAGCCCTAGGTGTCATATGTATAATAATGATGTGTGAATACAATAGGAAACCTAATAAATATGGAAACCTAATTAAAGTATTAATTACACTATTAATGTATTTCACTACTACATTTAAAGACCTTTTGTAACAGCTAGATTCGTTACTTTTGGCTCAAAAGTCCATTACATTCTTCTAAATGTAACAGTTTTGTGGCGTTACATTCGCTGGCATTGCCTTTTCTCTAATGTAACGGTATGCAACGATTTTTAAAACTAATTGTAACGCTTTTCAAAATAAACCAAAAGTGTTACCACAACCACTATTACAAATGTAACACTTCTTTACTTAGGCAAATGTAACACTTTCAGAAAAATATATAGCAAAAATTAGATTTATTATCTAATGTAATATTTACTGTACATGCATGAATACATAACTTTACCGATTTGCACATAAATTAAATACGTAGTATAATATTAATAATTAAAACATTGATATATAACTAATAAATATCACATTTAATAAATTTATAGTACATTTGTAGTACACTAGATTTTCACCCGTGCGTTGCACGGGATGCATGATATAATTATTACGTTTTGTAAATGTTTATATAAGTATCATTGTGAAAAAATATGCTCTAAAATTTGGTTGTGACAACTTTTATATTGATAACCACAGGGGAAAAATTCGAAGTAAAAGTAAAAATAATGTGAATTTTCAAAACACAGGCACTACAATTTTTTCTTAAATAGGAGTCACTTATAATCACCTTGAAACTACAGTCACATTTTAATATTGTCTAGCTTTAAGTTATATAAATGGCGTCTGGATTCACATATCACAATGCATGAGCAAATTATGATGTGTTGCATAAACAACATGGCAAGTCATTTTATCAAAATTGTTTACATAAAAACAAACCTTGAAACCTTTTATCGAAATATCACAATATTTTCACAGTTTCACGTATCGAAACTGCATCTCTTCATAATTTAAGGGTGACATATCATGTATTTGTCTTGATGAGTGCCATATTGCCTTAAAAACATAAGGGCGAAAAGAATGGAAAAATGGAATGTTTTCTTTGTAAAAAAACCCGTAAACATAAGGGATTAAAAACAACCTCGCATGCATGTGTACACATATTGGGATGTGATGAAATAAGATAAAATAATAAATGATATAATCTGCCTCCATTGAACAAAGATCAACGGGATAGACCAAATAACATAGTTGAGCAAAACTCAAAATCAATGATACTTTTGAACAATCTCAACGAATAAAAATAATAGTCTAACAAAAATTACATCTTTTGCTTCACCTACAAAAGTGGCATAAATGAATTAATATTTCAAGATACTAAGAAAGTGGCTTGCATGCTAGTTGTATCGCTTTAGCATCCAGGTAAAGTAAGTCATCCACTTGTATGCTTATTGGAAATCGATGCTTTTCAAAAGTGTCCAAAACAATCAGCAACTATGACAACTTCTTTCTCACCAGCAATGACTACTCCATAGTTATACCTTGAGCATAATAAAACACCCATATTAAGCAAATTTCAATTACTGGTTAGCATGTTCACACATTAAGTTTCGCTTTTGCTAGGGTTTTCTTTAGAGCTCTCGGGTGCTTGAAATATTGAGGCCTCCTAAAGGTTCACTTTTAATGACCTTGAGTAATTTAAAAGTAGAAAGTTATATAAATAAATTTGCCTTCTCGAGTATGGATAAAAATAATTTAAAACAATTGATCAAGATCATTGCTATCCTTGAAAAAATAGTTGATGAAGGGTTCTAAGCATACTTCTTTTAACCTCTTGGTCCAAAGAGTTGAACGACAACTCATGCTATCAAACATAATAGCATAAGCTGCCTGTAGGGGAAATAATCACTAAGAACAAAAACTTGGATAAAAATGCTGGTTTTTATTTGTCACTCTAATTAAAAATGGTGATCAATAGGTGTGTTCACTATTTCTTAAAAAAACACAAAATCTCGACATAAAAGGTGACAATGATCCAATCAGGCAATCAAATATAAAAGGCACACTCTAAATGGTTCTATTGGACACATTAATAGGAAACATGCACCGATAAAATGATCTCCACCCCTATTTAAGAATTCAAGTTCACTCAACTATAACAAATACTTCAAACCAAAGTAAAAATGGAATATAACTACATTATTTGACATTTGACGATAAATGATTTAAGCTGTATTTCACCGTTGTAAACTCAATGACATACAACATGCTTGAAAGCAAAAGGAATTCACGTTAATGGTATGCTCCAGTTCTTTCACTCAATGTCGTTTTAAACTTAGGATAAGTATTAATTTTCTAGGGGTTTGTGCATGGTAGAGTTTGTTTATGTTCTCCTTTATTAAGCTTCTTTCTTTTCCATCTGGTTATACTCCCATAAAAAAACTAAACGTGCTAGTTGGCAAGTAAGACTGGGTTGATGCTTTCAAGTGTAGTTGTTGGTATGAATGCTAATATAACAATCAGTTGACATGTATACTTATACAGGCATCAAAGAGCTTAAACTATTTGGTTGGTTATTTTTAAATGCAGGTACATGTGACTTCTTAAAATTGTTTTTTATTATACCATGTATATAAGTATATTTTGTATGAAAAATTTATGAAACAAACACTTTCAATTATTCGTTTTTCATAGCTTTTTCTTCTCTGCCAGTACTGATGAGGATCTTCCACTTTGAAATATAAAATAGAATCCCTAGAGGTCTAGAGTTGGTCGAGTTTCAAGTAATGGAATATCAGTTGTTTGATTACAGAGAAGATTTTAAAAACTGATTTTATATATCATAGACTTCACATTTTATACTTTCAATAGGAATAGATCCAGATCAAGCAAAAGAGATGCATACCAAAAGAAGATATTGACAAAAAAGAGAATATAGGAACTCCACCATCATTGTCAATCTGATGATGTTCATATAACACCCTATAGATCTAGAGCCTTTACATATGACCTACCAGGTCAACCTACATAAATTAAAAAATAACTTTCAACTCAAGTATTCAAGAACATAATGGCTCTCCAAAGGGGAACTAAAGGTCTAATGTCAACCCTTAAAGAACACGCCCCTTTCGGATACGAAATCCAAACAAAGAGATAATGTAATCATAGTCTTAAGAAAAAATGTCTACCTTTAAAATAATATGAGAGTAGATACTGAAACAGAGAAAGGATCACCTCAATAAAGCATTCTTGATAATAAAAAGCAGCAGCCGCTTACAACTTTAGAAAACCCATAAAAAGAGAAAACTCCAGCCATGTCAAACAGTAGGAAAACACAAAAAGTTCAGCCTTTTGGCCCAAATTCTCCTAATTGGATAGAGTAAATTATATTCAATGTTATCTTAAATTAAATAATAATAATAATAACAATGAACTCCACCCCATCTGGAAGAACAACCAACTGAAGTCGCTATACGATAAAACGGGATTCAACGACATGTTACATCTTCTATGTGATTTAAGATGGATGTTCCACTACTTACCCACCATTTAAGTGATATATTTAACATGACTTTTAATATATCAATCTGGTTTCTCAAAAATCAAGATTTCTAATTGTAATTTTACTTTATTAATTTATTTCTCATATTTGATTTGGCATTCTAATATGACTTTTAACATGACTTTTATTTGATTTCTCATGTTCTCAAAGTTCATTTATCTAAAGTAGGTGGTAGAAGTCAAGTACAGTGAGAGATGATCTTAAACAACATGATACTACTATTATATTTAAATTTGAGAACCTTATTCTGAACAGATGGAGTACTAATAAAAGAACAATTTGGTGAAGGATCCTCCTAGCAACAGTGCAGAATGACTATAATAATAGCAAAGAAATTTGAACTAAAATAGGCAAAGAGGACATTTCAGATTTAAATAGTCATCTATTTTAAATACTTTAACACTAAATAGTGTGATAAAGTCTCAATGTTAAAAGTGAAGGAGAATATAAAGAGGAGCATGATTGAGTTTGACCAATTAAATACATATAAGGGTTTAAGAAGTAAAAAAAGTGAGAGTTTGAACAAACATTTGTTTCAGAACAAAGCCTTGAGCACTAAGTGAGTAACTATGACAAATTCACGATCCAAACTGTAGCCCTTGTTAATACTCCTCAAAGTACAGTTAGATCATCACTTCAATTTCTAATATAAAAAGAATGTCATAACTCATAAGTCTTAATTCCTAATTGAAATTAAAAAATGGGAGGATCATTAGAAACTTATGCTTATGTCAACTATCAAGATCTCCAGGATTTGATGCCATCATAGGATTTCCATAACAATGTTGATTAACTAAATATAGAAAAAACAAAGATATACAAAAGTACATGTAAACCAATAAAATAAGATAAAATAAAATTGAATCAATTACCTCGATGAGGTTGACTATGGGAAGTTAGTTGAATCCTAATTAAGAAGAGGAACCAACACTACTCAACCAACGACCTCCTTCTACATCTTGAAATCGAGAAGAGGAAGGAAAAGACAATTTTCCCTGTCTATCTCATTAAGTTTGCACCTATGAAAGGAGGTAGTATTAAGCAATCTTTAAAACAGATGTTCATAGTATTTTTAGTTTTTCACAATGCTTGACTTTCTTTAGTATTGATAAAAAACAATTTGAAGCATATCCCTTTCTATCATCTTCAAGTAAAAGCTCAATAAACTTGAGCTTATTATCCATATCTGAGTAAGCAAACAATATTGAAATTGGTAATTACGAAAATGAGAAGAAAAATCGTTGGTTGAATAATAGAATAATGAAATTGAGAATATAGAATTGAAAATGAAATAATAAAATAAATAAAATTACTAAATAAAAATACGAACAGTACCTCATTGCTTACTGACGAATATAGCCAGGAGAAGCGGCACTGAAGAAGAATGCAGGGGCATCTCCTCTTCTGCAGCCATGGCTTCATCTTCCTTTGCTATTATTCCCAATTCATCTGCAATTTCGGCCAATATTGAAATTGGTAAGAAAACAATATTGAAATTGGTAATTACGGAAATGAGAAGAAAAATAGTTGGTTGAATCATAGAATAATGAAAATGAGAATATAGAATTGATAAAATTAATTAATAAAATCAATAAAATTGCTAAATAAAAATACGAACAGTACATCATCGCTTACTAACGAAGATGGCCAGGAGAAGTAGCACCAAAGAAGAATGCGGGGGCGTATCCTCTTCTGCAGCCATGGCTTCGTCTCCCTCTGCAATTACTCCCAATTCATGTGCAATTTCGGCCATGCCTCTTCATTAATCGATTGTTCATGGGAGGAATTGAGAGATGAGAACTGAGGAGCGGTACAGTGGCTGAGTTCAGAGGTATCGCCTCTTCTTCTACAACCATACCATGGCTTCATCTTCCTCTGCTACTTCTCCCAACTCTTCTGCAATTTTGGCCTTGCCTCTTCAACAATCGATTTGTTCAAGTGAGGAATTGAGCGATGAGAATTGGAAAGCAATTTGATTTGTGCGAAGTTGAGAGATTTGGTTTGTGCGAAGCTGAGGAGTTGAGGAATTTTCCGGTCGAAAGGAAGGAGAAGCTGAGGAGCTAATGCCGTAGATCGAATTGACGGAGACAACTGAGAAGTTGAGAAGCCAATGCCGTAGATCTATTTTGCGATCTAACGGTGGAAATAGCAATATGCTTGAGCGGGAAGATGCTTTCTTTAGAAGTATTGCAATTATGTAGAATGATGATTGCACACATGAATCTATGAAGTCTAAAATTTTCATACTACGTATTAATTACAAAAAGATACACATATAATACGAAATACTAAATCCTAATAAATTTCTCATCATTGGAGGCATCCACGTCAATTGGTCATCTAGTTTCGTGAGGCAAGACCATCCATTATCCGGTTTCATTCCTTTCCTCTTCATATGCATGAAAACCTTATCTGTAAAGCAAATATTTCAAAATACTAGCATCCATATAAATTTCTATATTATCAGTATAAGAGTAAGTGATATCCAAATGACCTGGAATCCACGAGCATGATATTCCAATAACCTAAAAATTAAATTTTATTGTTTGTGAACTAAATGAATTGATCACGACAGTAACATAGACAACACCTAGAGTCTTACATATGTGTATGTGCTACATGGACAAATAAATTGCTGGTTTTATAGTTTCTTTAGTAAGGAAAAGTTGTACACATATTTCCTTGCTCTTGAAGTATTTGCATAAAATCAAGTTTCATTTTGCTATATACTCCATCTCTTATACCATGAAAAACGAAATCAATGATTAATTACATGTTGGTATTCATAACAGAATAATAGTATATCGGAGAAGCAAAGAAAGCAACTAAGAATTAACAAGGAGCCGGTGGTATTCATAATGAGAATTATGTCATATGAAATAGAAAATCAATTATTAGCAAAAGATTACCACTTATAAAACTCACATCATTACAACAACTAACCATACCTATTGTTTCTTATAAGAACCCGTTGGAGCACCGGAGAAAACTTCAAGGCAAATTAGAGATTTTTGCCAACAAATCACTTCAGGGCAGCAACTAGAGCAGCTTTCTGAATCTTAACCTTTGAACTCTTTGTCAAGAAAGAATTGTATCAGTGATGAAGAAACAAAGCATGGTTAATTTTTCATAATTGAGTTTCTCTACCTGTTCCTTAACAAGTAAGGGTATAATATGAAATGGCGTTAAATATTCTATCTTCTTTATTGTGTCCAAATAATAGGAGCTATAAACAAAAAAAATCATCAACCAAGGAGCCAAGGAGCAAGATTGGCTAATTGGCTTATATCTTAAATTGAACCTGGAGTAGTTAAAGAATCATTATTATCAGCTTTATTTGAAAAGAAGTAGCAAAGATTATATTATGTACATATTCAGTTCAAATAAATAACTAGTCAAGAACGTAAAACACAAAATGTACACATCAATGTTGCAAGTAATTCTTCAAGTAATGTATACTTATGTTTTGTTTAGTATGAAAATTATCGCAAAAAGAAGCCTAAAATTATATGTTTTGCATACGAAAATGTTGCAAGGAACACACTAGCATCTTCGGTGAAATTATGAGAAGAGAAAGAAGAAAAATATCCGTTTTTTTAGTTTAGACATTTTTCGAACACCTTTCGTGCAGAACTAACACATGGTTGTTTTTATCCTTCTTGAAACTTGATTAACCCATAGAAATGTATAAAGCAAGCTCCTAAAACACAGAGAGAAAAAACAAGATTGCACTAAAGAAGATAAACAAATGGCAAAATTTTGCTGTTATATAGCCTTTAGATTCTAAAACCAACTTTAATAAACCAATGCACAATTGAATAAAGAGAAAAAATCAGCAAGAGACAACCATAAATATTATACTTCGTAGAAATATAAGAAATCGCCACAGAATTTAAGAAATGAAATTGAAATGTCTAGGGTTAAACCGTAGAAAGTACAAACGAGAAACATCTTGGAATACTAGAAGATGTGATTCATGTATTACCCGCCATAAATAGTGCAAAAAGGTGGAAGAGGCGAATGAATCTTGAGCTCCAGAAGAGCACATCGCGATCCGGGGCATCTTCACGCCGTCCGTCACCGACTGCAGATAGGTGTATTTCGACAACTTTGGTTCTTCTTTTACGAGTGATAAATAAAACAGAGACGTAGCTTAGCGGAAAGGATTCCAGGAAGAAAATAGAAGACGTTGCTGAGCGTAACCACTGTTCTGCCGAGTCTAAGGAATTGCTTCAATAGATTTTACGTTTCACATTGGATTGGGAACAAGAAAAGAGAGTGTTAATTTGATAATATCTTCTCTGATGTTATCTCTGAACATTGTCAAGGCTTTTGGTTTTCTTAGGGATTCTTAATTGATCGCTTTGTCAAATTTGGGCTTTAGCTTCTTGATGGCCCAAGTTCAATTTTTGGCGTTCTTTTTTTCGTATTAGCTATTCATACTTCATAGTGTTACATTAGCTTAAATTAAAGGTAACATTTATCGTAAGAATGTAACACTCTACCGAACACCATAGAAGCGTTACTTGATGCTAGTATCTATTGTAACGATATATTCAAAAACATTACAATAGACCGTTCTATTGTAACACTTTAAGCAAATGTTACAATTTTAACGTTACATTAGGCCTGAAAATGTAGTAGTGTTTGTAGGGCGGTGCAGGGAGAAGTGGATCCCTATGGAAAACTTTGCAGGTATTCCAATAAACCGAACCCATGGTAACATAGTCAAAGTTAGATGTTTGGCAGTCTCATGTTCTCTCTGAAAGTGGTTTCAAATATTATGTTTTATTCATTGATGATTTTTCTCGATTTACTTGGCATTATCCTATGCGCAATAAAAGTGAAGTTGTGAGACACTTTCAACAATTTAAAATGGCGGAAAATTTACTAAACTCCAAAATTAAAATTTTTCGAAGTGATGGATGGGGTGATTTTGATAATTATGGTATGCGTGATATTTTTTCACGCATGACATTTTATTTCGAAAATCTTGTCCCGATACTCTTCCACAAATTGGAGTTGCTATGAGAAAACATAAACATGTTCTTGAATTAACCCGCACTATGCTCTTAGAGGCAAAAATGTCGGCTAAATTTTGGGATGATGCTGTTTTTACCGCTGCCTATATTATTAATCGTCTCCCTACTCGAAATTAATCCGCACTATGCTCTCCGACAGCTCCACCACCCAATCCATTCCCCATTCCCCTCCCAGCAGCCTGTCCGATTCACCTTCACCTCCGACACCTTCTCCTGCAAATTGTCATCCTATGCAAACACGTGTAAAATAGATATTTCGGCATGTAATCCATCTTGTTTTTCTATTGCTAATAAAGATGCTAAATGGAGGGCTGTTATGGTTGAGGAATTTAATGCACTCATTGATAATCATACTTGGGAATTAGTTCCATTTAATGCTCGTAAAAATGTGCTCAGGTCTAAATGGATTTATAAAACCAAATTTAATTCTAATGGGTCATTTGAGCGTCATAAGGCACGTCTGGTAGCACGGGGATTTACTCAACAAGTTGGTGTGGATTTTCTTAGACCTTTAAACCAACCACTATTCGTATTGTTTTATCTCATGTTGTATCATTTCATTCGACCATTCATCAGTTAGAAGTAAAAATGTTTTTCTTCATGGTAATTTGACAGAAGAAGTTTATATGCGTCAGCCCCCTAGTTTTATTCATCCACAGTTTACTAATCATGTGTGTCATCTCAAGAAAGCTATTTATGGTCTCAAACAAGCTCCAAGAGCCTGGTTTTATAGGTTTAGGAGTTTTTTGTTGACTCAAGGTTTTGTCTGTAGTAAGTCTGATAATTCTTTGTTTATTTACCGCTATGGTTCTTCGGTTCTTTATCTCCTTCTTTATGAGCATAAAATCATTATTACTTGTAATTCCCCTTCATTTATATATTTCCACATTTATTTCCTGCCTTGGTTGTTGCTTCGCTATTAAGGACTTGGAGGATTTACATTTTTTCATAGGTGTCCAGGCCGTTAGGTTACCCTGGGTTCTGTTTTTATCTCAACAGAAGTATGTCTCTGATTTATTAACCGGGTTTCTTCCATACACTCTTAAGCTTATTCGTACTCCACTTCCTACACGAACTAAGCTGTCTCTCACTGATGTTGATCTTCTTGTTGATCCTACTAAGTATAGAAGTATGGTAGGTGCTTTACAGTATTTGATTATGACTTGACCCGATATTACATTTGCTGCTCACCTGGTTTTCCAATTTATGCATACACCCCGTACTTCACATTTTTTTTTGTTAAGCGCATTTTCAGGTATCTTCAGGGCTCTTCAGATCACAGGTTACTTCTTCAGCCGAGCACCGCCTCTCCTACCTTACAGGCCTATTCTGATGCTAACTGGGCTGGTTGTCCGGGTAGTAGTTGGTCTACTTCTGGTTTTGCTATAGTTTGGGCCCTAATTTATATTAGTCTCTTGGAAGTCCAAGAAACAACCCCCTATCTCTCGTTCTTCCACAGAAGCTGAATATCGGGTTATTGCTTATGCAGTTCAGGACATTATTCATATTCGTTCCATCCTGTTCGAATTGGGCATTCCCATTTGCCATCCAGTCAATCTCTTGTGTGACAATGTTTCAGCCTCATACTTGTACGTCCGCAAATCCTATTCAGCATGCTCAGAGCAAGCACATCAGCATTGATTATCATTTTCTTCGTGCGAGCGTTTCACATGGAGACCTGTTTGTTCGCTATGTTCATACACAGTTTCAGCCTGCAAATACTTTTGCCAAATGTTTGTCTCTGCAACGTTTTATATTTCTTAGAGACAATTTGTGCATTGTTTCCCCTGCACAGATTAATGGGGTGTAATAATGTAATTAATACTTTAATTATGTTTTGATAGGTGTGAAATCACCTAATACTTTTTCATGAAAAATGGTCTTTATTTGTTTGTTAACTTTTGAAGATTATTCTCCCATTTTGGTTTTACTTTGCAAAATTTTAGTTATAGAAACCATATGAAGGATTTGAGTATTGTAGGGTTGAAAACCGAGCATTTTGAAGAGTCTCGAGAGCATAAATGAATGATTAGAAGACCCCGAGAACCAAGCGGAGCACAACGAAGCAAGAAACGAAGATGTCGGAGGTGTTACGGGGAAAGCAGCCTCCGGAACGCCATAACGAAAGATGTTCCCCCCAACGTTGCCTCGTTTTGTTCCTCTGGATTTCAAATGTTATGTCCCTGGTGTGGGAACGCTAGCAGGGAACACCGTTCCTTTTAGCGTTCCCTCAAGAACGACGTCCCTGCTCCGTTCCTCCTAGCGTCGAACTCTCTGCCGGCCGCATGGTTTAATTTGTAAAGGTAGGAATGCCTAAGAGGAACGTCGTTCCCGCTAGCGTTCCTGCCGGCGTTCCTCGTAAAGGGAAGGTATTCCTGCCCAGCGTTCCCCCATTTTCCCCATGTTCCGAATCTCATAGTTTTTGGACGAGAATTCTCTTGCAAACCCTAATTTTGGTTGTAAGCTTCCTTAAACTATTTTGTATTGAATTTCTAATCTTTACTTACATCCAATACTTGTTATTCTTGTCGGACATATGCCCTAGGACAATCATAGTTTATGATTGATCAATGAATATTTAATGCTCATTAATTAATAAAGTCACAAACTCATTTTATGTTAATTATTATTATTGTGAGTTTTCTTTATTAATATTTAGTCCCTGAATATTATGTTTAGTAGCTAATTAAGTACGTGACTTAATTGTGGAATGCTACACATTAAAATAAGCATAATATTCTAATTGTCTCTGGTCTAATACTATTAATTTGGAACATTAATCATTAATATAGACCAGTATGTGGATTAACTGATGGCTATATTCCACTAGTCATGGGTATAGAGATATCAAGTTAATAACATAGATGCTTGTTAAGGAACAAGTTCATTGGACAGACCCAACATGAGGACACTACTAGGTTATATGTCATCAGTGTTGTCCTAAAAAATGATGAGGTGCTATATTCTTATACTTGAGATAATCATGGTTACTTGCATGGGAATTAATATGTATTAACACCATTAAATGTCATCTTCAAATGGGTAATTATAAAGGTGGTGATTGTGCATATTATGAACCATGTAGTAGTATGTGAATTATCAAGATAGTTTTTGTCACTCTTGTATATATAGCGAGAGAAATATATCTATTAGGCCCCTTGATTAGTAATATTAATTAGCATGGCCATGCTCAAATGAGATGTCATTTGATCAAGATTAATCTTATTTGGTAGTCAAGAAATATTAATTGAGAATAACAAGGATAGAACTTTGTTTTAGAACTCATGCTTCTCCTTATATTTGTAGGCTTCTTCGGTTGATTAATCTCCTCCGTTTATTGAGGGGAGATAATCTTGAACGTGTTGTACTTTGTCTTCTTGTGTTGGAGCAGATATTGTTGATTTCCTTGTCTTCACTGATGAGCCGCTGAGAGATCAATTCAGAATCAATCTTTATGATTTGTGTACGTCCCATGCATCTGAGCCTTCTAAGTAGAGAAAATCTCACAAAGCTTTCAAGAGATATCTAGCAAAAGAGAAATTACTGCTTGCTTAACTTTGCTCTCTGCTTAAGACTCGTGTTTCACTAAACTTCCAAGTTAGAACCTCTCGTTGCTATATTCTGGAAGTTTAGTTCTTAGTTGGAGACTAGTTTTTGTTCAATCATAAATTGTTGTAAACACTTAGAAGGACTGTGTTATCAAGTCATAAGTGTGGTTAAATAGAATAGAGTACCTTTTGATCCCCACTGGATCAATTGAGAAAATCTAAGGAGTAAATGGCTTGGAGTGGTGTATACTCCTTGTGAAACACCTTCAATCTAGGCTAGTTGTGTGTTAAAGGCTAGATTGGCACCAAGTGTATTGAGTTAATACTTTAGTGGAAATCCATCTGAAAGAGGGTGGGAGTGGACGTAGGAGGATTACACCACCTCTGAACCAGGATACACTGTGTGTTGATTTACTTTCAGTCAACAGAGCACACACTAATCACTTCCTACATTGAGCAGCTGTTTCAACAGTCAACTAAGCAGTAGCCTACTGCTAAGTCCACTGCCCATCTATACACTTTCTGTGAAACATCTCAATATCTCAAAAGCCTTATAAAACCTTCAAACATAACCCAGTTCAATCAGAATTCTGAAAATCATATCATTACTTCGCAGTAGCCTTAGAAGTCCTCTAGTGACTACACTACTGCGCAGACTATTGCTCACTCAACTGCCCAGTCACCTTCCCTTCTAAATAAAGTGTAAATCTCATCCAAATACTTTATTTGACTCATTTGGATATCATGAGAC